ATGGAAATCATATTAAATTATTTCTAAAGTTACTTCTAGCTCTAACATTCCATGTTTTCATTTCTTAAAAAAAGAAAAAGGCAATTCTAACATGATATTGTGAGACGAAAGGAAATAATACTGGACTAGGTTCACCGGAGCTCGTCCAACACTATGACTTCAAAAGTGACGTGAGGTTATCAAAGAAGCTGCAAGAAACAGTGGACAAATCCAAAGGCATGACAGCAAGGAATGCTGAACACAGCCTAGAAACACTATTATTTACACAGGAAAAATACCCTATTAATCTCAAAAAAGCAGGTTCCTAAAACTTTTTTTTCCATCAAAATGGGCAGGTCCACATATTGGATAATTTGTTCCTACTTGGATGATGTCATCATGCTAGGTTTAACTACTTTTAATAACTAGTACATTTCAGTCATCCCTCACTTTCTCCCACATAAGATCAAATCAGCCTTTCAATGACCTACTTCATGAGTCATAATTTTTCTGTTTATGATTCAGAAAAATGTCTTCAGTCAGTATTTCCCAGACTGCTGTGGGCTTATTCCAAGAACCAATTTCATCTTCATTGGTTTCCTACAGGAAACCAGACCAACTTCCTATTATTTTATTTTCCTTACTTTTAGTATATCATAGCCCACATCAAATTAACTGGAAGTGAGAGTGATAGAAGACTTTATTCCACACAAAGAGAAGCCAAAACAAACACTCTAAAAGTCATAGATTCAGAATTAAATACAAAATGTGCTAATATTAGAAACCTCTTTCAAAAGAGCACCAAACAATAAGACATTTATTTTATTTAATCTATTGCAAGCATTCCACGGTCAGAAAGAACTTATTCATTTAAAAAAAAAAAGTATATCATCTGGAAGTACAATAAATTCTGCAAAGGTGAGTAATACTGAAATTAATTGAAAAAAAATAAAATATGTAGTTTCCAATAGAATCCCAAAACAAGCTACTATGAAAACAGACAGAGCCTAGAGTGGTCTAGTGACAGAGCAGCATGCCCCAGCTGCCTGGCAGGTGAGCAAAGTCAGCACCCAAGGGCCTTCATCAGGATCCCAATTCTCTATGCCCACTCTCCCTGTGACTAAGAATCAACCTATCTTAGATCACAGCAGAAACAGAGGTATGAAGCATGAAATTTTGTAGGACATGCCTACCATGGTTTGTACTCATACTATTTCTTTAAAATGTTAGAAGTAACTGAGAAGTATTTATTCTCATGGACTGTCTATACTATTTTGAAAAAGGAAGATTTATGAATGTGAAGATCTTTAGCATAAAGGTATATCAGATTCTCTTCAGTCTCTTTCCAGTCTCACCATGCCTAATTGCAGATAGTGTTTGGGGTTTTAAAAGTCCATAGCATTAACTGATGAGTAACAGAACTATGTTTTATCAAACTCAAAAACTCATACATTAAAGAAGAAAGTCAAAGAAGAATGCATTTGAGACACATTCTCTACATGGATAAACCAAGAAACCTGAAACACCAGAGTAACAGCTCTCAAAGTATTGTCCTCAGATGAGGGTTAGGCATCACCTGGACATCTCCTAGAAATGCAAGTTCTCAAACCTCACTACAGACTTAAGATTCTGGGAAGGGACTTGGAAACCTGCGGGGATGCTGATATATCTGTCATCTAGTATATTCTCTTGTCTTTCTACCAAGAAATCTGAGAAAAGAATCCACTCAGTTTGCATTTCCCTCATAAACTGTCAACTTCTAAACCTCCTCTGTTCTCACTAACTTATTCCATCCTATCACCAAAATGCTTTTTTTTAAAGTCATAAGTCAGGCATTAGATATGTAGCTTAGTGGTAGAATGCATGTCTTGCATGTGTGATGCCTTGAGTTCCATCCTCAGAAAAACACACACACACTCACTCACACAAAAATAAAAGTCCAAAGTCATCTCCAGCCTTACTGACAAGGCCAGTGACCTTTTCCTGGCCCTCTCTCCCCTAGATTTATCCTTTCCTGCTTAAAATGATCTGACTTCCCAACTTCCAGGAAAATTCCACCCACTGCCTCTCATCTCTTGTTCCTGCCATCAGCCCAATTCTCCTTTCTCCTCTAACTACAGTAAAGTCCTAGAGGTTCAATCTTTACTCTTTGCCCTCTTTCTCCAGCTGCTACCTGGCATCTCAAGGACTCTGAATACTGAATGTATACTTGCACCCCCAAACTCTCCCAAACCTCAAAACTTTTTAAAACTATCTCATGACCTGCTTCCTTTGCATGGTCTTCACGTATTACCAGTAGAACACCTGACAGTGAGTTGTCCCATCAACTGTCTGATCCCCTAAGCACTGGGGGATCTCTTCCCTGGTGACTATATTTAGTAAGAAGAAGAATCAGTGTTGCTGGACATCCTGTTCCTTCCTCCTGCCCCCATTTCTGATGCTGCCATCCACATCCAACACGTTTCTGTGTCTTCTGCATCTTACTTCTAGATTTTGATCCCTAAGATTCATATCTATTTCTCCCCTGTTCCTCCTTAGCCTGGCCCCACAATACTCCTCCATATTCTTTCTGCTCAACTGATCATTTGAATGCTCATCATGCTCCAAACGTGGCTTGAGGATTTTTTGACTTCTAACTCTTGACTTTATGTTATAACCTCCATTTCAACTGCCCATTTCCCACTGTATATGTAAATACCCTCCTATACTTTAAGATTAGCGCCAGCACCAGCTCCTCCTTGACACTACCCGTATCCCCTCAGATGAAAGTTATTTCTCACCTTCCTCTAAAGACTGGAAGACTCTGTGCCAGCCTGTGGTCCTTGCTGCAAATCACCTATACTAAAGTTGAAACCTCTACAGTAGAAGTAGAATTTATACATCTTTTGTCCTTAGTATAGCATGTAAGTTACCTTGTATTAGGTATACATTAACAAATCTTTGTTAAAGGATTAAATAACCTCACAAACCAAAACTCTCAACTGAGGACCATTGATCTATCAGGAAGGTAGTCAAAGTAAGGTAAAACAGAAAATTTCACATACATGGCAACTTAGAAGGAATCAACTCAATCTCCTTTTCTCTATATTACTTAAGTATAACTATTCTGGAATGATAACTAAAAACTATTATGCACACTACAACTAAAGAAATAAAACATTTTTTTGAACTACAAATACATTTTGGAGAAGGGAAAGGATCAGGTCATTTAATACACTAAAATGACAGAGGGAAAGACTTCTATAAATAAACCTTTATAGAATGTCCTACATCCTTCTGCCATGCCAGTTCATGTCTTCCAGAGGTGATAACCTATCTACAATCACAAAGCAAACTTCTTAATCTTAGGAAGTTGAATAACAGAGTGCTCGTTCCAAAACATTCTGTTTTGTCTGGAAGATACTCTCATGGCTGGTCAGGAAGGTCAAAAACAGTCAGATGAATTATAATGTGGAAGATAGACTGACTGCCTCAATTAAGGAAAATAAGATCGTCATTCCTGGAATGATTAAGAGTTACTGCTTCTTTTTAGCAAACAGGTAGATTAATCTCTCAAGAATAATATACCTAAAATACCATTCCTTTCCAGACCAAATTTTAAACCTGGATATCAAACAGAATCATTACATATTAAGAAAGGGAAAAGCAGCTGGAGGTGGAGCATGCAGGCAGAGTGTGGGCTAGCACTAGGGATAAAAAAGGAAAGGGAAAATTTTTTTTCCTAGACAGCACGGATCAGAAGTTAAAAGATATCTTTATGATGGATATGTGGTCATTTTTCAATTTTTCTTACAGAAAAATTATTATGAGGATTGACAACCAAATTTTTAATCTCTTATCAATTGCAATGTTTTGAGATTCAGTTCATAACTTCATCTCAAACTAGAAGAGCTATAGGAAATAGGCATATAGCCTTCTTTCTTTGAAAAGCTGGGGACATGGAGAAACTTCAAAAGATGTTAAATTCTTCCCAAAATAAAATTGCTGAATTTGTTCATTAAATAGCAAAAAATGCTGGTAGATTTTTCTGGACCTTCTTTTTTTTTGGCAGGGAGTGAGGTTTAAAATTAAAAGTCATTTGCTTTTATTTTTAAACTTCACTAACTATGCTCATTAAATAAGTTTCATTAAATAGAACCCACATCATCCTGGGTTCAAATTTCACTCACCAAAGGAATAGTAGGACACAAATACAACACCCTAAGTGAAGCAGATGGTGAGAAGTCTGGGGGGCGCTTCACTGGTTTACAGTGATTGGCTCCAGAAAGAACAAAAAAGAAGAAGGTAGAACAACAAAGAATTTGAGTAGACATTAGCTGTGTCACACTGAGGAAGAAGAGGCTAAAAGGCTTTCTTCCAATGATTTTTACCACCTACCATAAAAAAGTTAACTCAGCTAATTTTAACATACAATTGAGATTCAAAAAATATTCTTAACCAGTTATAGTAGTCACTAATAAAAATTAAAGTTAAGGTTTTACTGAGTTAAATCTTCCAAAATTTTAACAAAATTTTATTCATAATGTGATCTGAAATGGCAGTTAACAAACCCTGCTGGGGTCATGACTACTGGGAAAAACAAAATAAATGAATATTGTTATTTGAATGTTAGCAGTAAGATTATATTATGCTGTTCAGTAATGGAAAACATACCTTCGAAAACCTCTATTTCCCTTAGGGTCAATAACCAAATTAACATGGATGGTTAAATTTGAAGACTAGGACAGGTGGATTATTAAGTTAAGAAGCAACAGACAGGGGCTGCAGTTGTAGCTCAGTGGTAGGTAGGGTGCTCACCTAGGACATATGATGTACTGGGTTTGATCCTCAGCGAAAGAAAGAAAAAGAAAGAGGAAGGAAAGAAGGAAGGAAGGGAGGGAGGGAGGTAGGGAGGAAGGAAGGAAGGAAGGAAGGGATGGATAGATGAATGAATTAGGGAAAAAGAAAAATAAAGTAGAAGCAACAGACAAATGTAAAACATAGACCACCACAGGAACACAGCTAAAGAGAAAATGGCTTACTTTGACATGGCTCTGGGCTCCCAGGTTGTAAATCTCTGTAGGCTTTACTTCATTGATAATCTTCACGAGGCAGGTACTATCAGTAAGATCTCCATAGTGCAACTTCATGTCTTTAGAATTCAAAAACCGACCATTAGATAAAAGAAAACAATAAAAGCTCAACTTTTGAAAATATCAGACTTGAAATGCATACACTTACAATGTCTGTAAACCAGGGTAAGAATGGAAATGTTGTCCTGGAGCAGCAGAATATAGCTATCATCTTTAAAGAACTTATGGGGTAAGAATGTAGCTCAGTGATAGAGTACTTGCCTAGCATTCACAGTACTGGGTTTTGTCCCCAGCATCATAAAAATAAACAAAGGATGAACCTACACAGTAGAAAGATATTTACATATATTTCCTATATCTATGAAGGATTTATAGGGATAAAATCAGATGAACTTTTTAAAACATTACCATACAATAACAGATGTTAAACAATTAATACATTTTAGAACTCCAAGCAGTTGGAAGATGTGTTATGTAAGAGGGGGCAAATAAAATTTTGTAAGAATGCATATACATTCTAAGCACATCTATAACATACTGATGATAGTAACAATAGCTCATATTTGTTACGTTTATTCATATACTTTCATCTACTGATTTATAAATACATTATAAACATCAGACCTTAAGCTATCTATGAAAAGTCTGACACTGTAACATAACTGTGATTAGGACAACTAGCCTATTCCAATTCCTACATCTAAGTTGATCCTTATACTGACTTCATTAGTGTAAGAATTTAAAATGTATAGACGGGTAATTTGATCATTTCATTATTTTTTAAAAATATTGATCTTATCATTATCTCTCTACCTGTGTTCCTGTGGTGGTCCATGTTTAACATTTGTCTATTGCTGCTTGTTCCTTCCCCCCCCCCCCCCCCCCCCCGTAATACCTTTATTTGTTTGTTTGTTAATTTTGGTGCTGAGGATCAAACCTACTGCATTCCTAATCAGAAAACTCAAAATTTGAAATGCTCCAAATCTGAAATGATTTTAAGTGCTGACAGGATGCCACAAGTATAAAATTCCACATCATGAAACTTGGTTTAATACACAAAATTATTTAAAATATTGTATAAAATTATCTTTGTGTTTAGAAGAAATAAGTGAAACAAATAAATTCTGTTTTAAGACTTGGGTCTTATCCTCAAGCTATATCATTATGTATATGCAAGTATTCCAAAAACTGAAAAAATTCAAAACCCAAATCTTCTGGTCCCAAGCATTTGGGAAAAGGGATATTCAATATACCTGTAATAATTTTCAAGAAGAACGTACTCTGCAATAAGGTGAAAAGTCTTTTCTGTGGACAAACTGGATCACCTTCTTGATGATTACTACCTGAAAAAATAACCCAATCTTCCAAATATTCAGGACTTGGAAGTGAATACAAAATCATTGATCATTTATAAATTGACTGTATCACCCTTGCTAGCTATAAAAACTGGCTGAATACTGCAGGCTGAATTTGGAGTTAGAGCTCTGTGTTCTAGTCCCACTCTGCCTTCTTGGTGGTGTTTGACGTTGATAAAATCACCTCTGTCTCCATTTCCTCATGTACAAAATAGTCTCTCTAACAACTTGTGGAGTTGCTATAAAGAACAAGTAAGAAAACACTGTAATTGTACTGTGTAAACCATGCAGCTACAACACAGGCGAATTTACTAACAATGACAACAAAAAAAGCTATAAATCTTAACAATAATCGGTAAAGCAATTTAAATATAGTTTTTAATTGCCACAAGGTTTTGAATCTATCTTCACAAATTATTTTAAAAATTAATTAAAATGTCTACACATTGTTTAACTTGAGTAAACTGATCACATATAAAAAGCAAAAGAGTGTTCTTTCTATGTAGAACTACTCTTTATTTGCGGGGACAGGGACACCTGGAGAGGGGTGATCAACTGGATAGGTCTCTCTGAGCCACCTATCCAATTTCCCTCTAACAGTCAAACCCAGATGATACAATGGCCTAAGTAAGCAACCAGGAAGGTTTTCAGCACATGCTGGTCATATTCAATACAGTAATACATGGGCAAATAATTATGACTAGATGCACTCTGAGAAAAATTACATTTGACAACATCTTCTCTGAAGATAGGAAGTTTATAGACAAAGGTTTTAGAAAAGAAAATGACTTACTTCCTTCAATATGAGCCTGGGGGTTCTTATATAGATGTTCAATTCTACCTGTATTAAATGAACTGGATCGCCGTACAATTCCATGGACCTGAATTTTTAAGTATTAAAAAAAAAAAAAGTAAATTACAAGTGTGTAATGAGAATTAATAAACAACTCAGAAGTTCTTTTGCTAATATTTGGCTTTATGAAAAATATAAGTATTTCTTATAAACATTATTTTTAAACTATTAAAAACAGTTATGGTGCTTATTTTCTCTCCAACTGCTGCCCAACAGCTACTAGCACCCTACCTCCACCTTTCTCCAGTGTTTTTACTGCCAATCTCAACAAAAGTAATTAGATAATTATGTGACTTCATGCTTAGTTATAGATACTCAAATTTCTCCTTTTCTAAACACATACATTTGCTGCCCTACTGCTGAAAAAAAAAAAAATATCTCTTCGATTTGAAACTGAAGACAGACCACATGAGGCTACATCTGTAAAACAGCTTTGTGGCCTATTTAACAGGGCATGGGGAATTCACATCTTTCCAATGTCCTCAGAGCTATTGCATGCTGCATCTATTTTGAGTGTGTGTGCACAAACATGTGTGTATATAAATAAAGTTTTTTTCTGTGGAAAAGTCAGAAAGCTAAATTGGACAGGTTAGGAATAAGATTCACACACTACAGGATTTAAATAAGATATGAAGAAAACCCAAATGAAGCAAGGAATTTTAAAAAATTATCTTGATTTATCCATGATCAGCATGAGGGGATAAAGTTGCTGGAATAGGAATGCATACCTGTCTGATACTGAAGAAAAGACTATTTGTGTCTAATACATAACAGAAATTGTTCCAGACCTGGTCCCACTTCCTTCTTGTGTCAGGACTGCTCCCTTTGTGCTGCCAATGCTAACACTAGTTTATGTCACCAGCTGCCCAAGTTCCAGTTCCACTGGTGGCAGTTTTAATCCTTGACTTATTTTAGAAGTGTTCCTTCCAAGGTTGGGTAGGTTCATTGCAGCTGAATACACTTCTATATTTTTAACTCAATCGTTTTCTGTCTATTTCAAACCAAAATTAATCCTTGGCATGACTCAAGTATTCCAAATGCAAGGAGGAAATTATAAGCACATAAGACTTTCTTTCAAATAGAAAGAAATGTCATCGTCATTTTACATGGCATACATGAGAAATGACTTCTGCAAAGGATGCAACACACCCACAATTAATAATTATGTTAGTTAGCTGTATTACCCAAGAGGAAAGCACTCATCAACACTATTTTTCAAAAGAATAAAACCCAAGAAAAGTTGGTAAATATGTAAATATTTTAGTAGGGGTATACTGCATTCTTGGTTGACTTTTTAGGAGACAAACATTAAAATCTTAGAAATGGTGAGATTTGGTTATGCATAGCCATGTCTTAATTTAGAAGTATAAGAATATATAAATATTAAGTTTAGAATTTATTCTACTTTCATGAGCTCCAATTGTTCAGGTTGTTACTTAATTGTTTTTTTTTTAATTTATTTTTTTATTGGTTGTTCAAAACAATATAAAGCTCTTGACATATCATATTTCATACATTAGATTCAAGTTGGTTATGAACTCCCAGTTTTACCCCAAATACAGATTGCAGAATCACATCGGTTACACATCCACATTTTTACATAATGCCCTATTAGTAACTGTTGTATTCTGCTACCTTTCCTATCCTCTACTATCCCCCCTCCCTCCCCTCCCATCTTCTCTCTCTACCCCATCCACTGTAATTCATTTCTCTCCTTGTTTATTTTCCCATTCCCCTCACAACCTCTTATATGTAATTTTGTATAACAATGAGGGTCTCCCTCCATTACCATGCAATTTCCCTTTTCTCTCCCTTTCCCTCCCACCTCATGTATCTGTTTAATGTTAATCTTTTCTTCCTGCTCTTCCTCCCTGCTCTGTTCTTAGTTGCTCTCATTATATCAAAGAAGACATTTAGTATTTGTTTTTTAGGGATTGGCTAGCTTCACTAAGTATAATCTGCTCTAGTGCCATCCATTTCCCTGCAAATTCTATGATTTTGTCATTTTTTAGTGCTGCGTAATACTCCATGGTGTATATAGGACACCCATAGCACAAAAGTTGATAACAAGAATCAACAAATGGGACTTACTTAAACTGAAAAGTTTTCTCTCAGCAAGAGAAACAATAAAAGAGGTAAATAGGGAGCCTACATCATGGGAACAAATTTTTACTCCTCACACTTCAGATAGAGCCCTAATATCCAGAGTATACAAAGAACTCAAAAAATTAAACAATAAGAAAACAAATAACCCAATCAACAAATGGGCACAAGACCTGAACAGACACTTCTCAGAGGAGGACATACAATCAATCAACAAGTACATGAAAAAATGCTCACCATCTCTAGCAGTCAGAGAAATGCAAATCAAAACCACCCTAAGATACCATCTCACTCCAGTAAGATTGGCAGCCATTATGAAGTCAAACAACAACAAGTGCTGGAGAGGATGTGGGGAAAAGGGTACTCTTGTACATTGCTGGTGGGACTGCAAACTGGTGCGGCCAATCTGGAAAGCAGTATGGAGATTCCTGGGAAAGCTGGGAATGGAACCACCATTTGACCCAGCTATTGCCCTTCTTGGACTATTCCCTGAAGACCTTAAAAGAGCGTACTACAGGGATACTGCTACATCGATGTTCATAGCAGCACAATTCACAATTGCTAGACTGTGGAACCAACCCAGATGCCCTTCAATAGATGAATGGATAAAAAAATGTTACTTAATTGTTAAATTGAGCTTCTCTACAAAATTAATAAATTTGTTTAACAAAAAGCAATTTCACATACTTATACATAAGAAATCTGATGTTTAACACCAAAGTTATTTCTGAAATATACCAATACAGATGTCAGTGCTTTGTTTTATTTGATGGAGAGGAATGTATACATTCTAAAAATACATAATTTAACTTTTATAATAATGATAATAATAATATAGGGTATCTTGATTGATGAATTCTGAGGAAGTCACATATTTATCATGTGTAAGCATAAAAGACTTTGAAAAAATATTAAACAATATTTACGGATTCAATGTGAAAAGTAAACAACTATACAAAGTCATAGCAAATCAGTAACACAGGATCTTAATGTCACACTTACAATGAAAAGCATTAAGCACTATTTCTTTTTTTTCCTCCAATGGAAAAAAAAAAAAAGTGTTTTAATTTCCCCTCACTCCCAACTGTCGGTATGTATATACAGAGAAAGAGACTTGCCAAATGCTTAATCCATGACAGCAGGTATTATTCTAAGAACTAATGAAAGCTGAGTCTGTCTGCTTCTAAGACAGGTGAAATACAAACACTAAGACAAGCCAAAATGTGTGCAAACTGCATAATCTAGTTAAGAATTTGAGATTAACGGCTTCTCTTTATAGAAAGGATATAGGGCTTTTTGTTTGTTTTTGTAAGGGTTTGGAAAGAGATGAGGGTTATGAAATCAAACTGAAAAGATAAATGAATTAAGTGACTTTATATGAACTTAACCAGAATTATTATTAAATTATAGTAGTTTAAAACTAAATTCTGAAAAACTAAAGTCTTAAAATAAATGGATTTAGGTATTGTGGCAAACAAATATGTCATAGTTAACTAGGTGATGAAAGGGGAAATTTTAAGTTTTCTTCATATCAGAACAAAGTTATTTTGACTTCAAAATCTAGAGTCAGATTAGGCACTATGACAGAGAAATGCTTCATTATTTATTCATTATGATCAGGAACGTGAGAAATAGTTATCACTAAATGCCAATTCTTTATTGTCTATATTTCTCTTGGAGGCATGGAATACCTTGCAGGGATGATTAATGTCACTCAGCCTTTGAAAAGTATGTATTTCTTAGGTAATATAAACAGTTAACATTTACATGACAGTGACCATGGGTCAGACACTGTCTTTTATAGATGGAAAAAAACAATCACTCAATACTGAAATAACCAAGCTAATATTATTTCCATTTCTCAGATGAGGACACTGCCTGAGATCACACTGCTAGTAAATAGTGACAGTTAAAGGGTTAACTGGGCCAATCTTGAAGATGCCCAAGGTAGTTTTAGATAAAGTCCATAAAAAGCTTGACTTCTTTCAAATAATGTATAAAGGCTTCTGGGATAAACAATAAGCCAGGGGAAAAAATATTTCAAGAATTCTCACTGATCAAGAAAGGAAGTATAGGAGATCCACACTCGAACATATAATCTCCCCAAAGAAAACAATTGGATAATTCTTGTATCCCATGTCTTTTCTATTTTTATACTCTACCTCAGAGGAGGTGGTTATAGTTACTTTCCTGGGAATGAAACCCATAATGTACCTATTTTTTTATTTTAAATTCTGAGGTGCTGTGTTGTTATTGTTGTTGTTGTTGCCAAGTTATTTAATATAGATTTTTCTTATATTCCTGGGTAAATGTTAGCTTTTATAAAGTTCAACTTAGTCTTTTATTTCTCTGATTCTTCTCTGTGCAAACCAGGCAAAAGCATATGTTGTTGGCAGTTTGTTGTCAGCTTATCTGCTAACAATAGTGCTGAGAAGGTATTTGAAACTAGAATGTACTTCCATAAAACATTTCACTTCTGTCAATTTCCCCCCGCCCCTCACTGATGATGGAGAGGAATGCATACAACTCTGGCATCCAAGGCAAGAGAACATGCCTGCCTTTCATTAATGCTAATTTGTGAAGTAGACTAAAGGAGCCCACTATACCATCTGTGTCCACTGGCTTGTCAGCATCAGACACTATCTTTCATTCCTGTCACAATGAGCCCCTTGCATCTCACAGAGTTCCAAGGGCTAAGTGTTGTTCAAATGCTCTTATACCTAATCTTCACAACCATGTCAGGAGATAGGTATAAAGTCTTAGAGGGGCTGTTTGACTTGCTCAAGGCAACAGAGCCAACAAGTGGCAGAAGAGGGATTAAGACACAAGACATACAGTTCCAAGCCATGGTGGGCTGGGCTGCTTGTTCAGCTTCCTTGCTCTATGCTGGTCCACAGGGTAAAAGAAGAATGACCCCCTGAACTTCAGCAAGGCACAGAATAAAGTCCATAATGAATTCACAGGACAATTTTCCACAAAATCTTGACAATTCTTTATTTTTCTCATCATGGGAGAACATCTCCACATATTAGCAAAGAATTAACAAGTGTTAGATCATTCTCTTTAAGTCTCCTTACTGTTTAATTCTTAGTAAAATTCAAGAAACAAACAGCAATAAAAAGTGTAATTCTCACTGTCTTTTCTCAGTGAGAAATGACTGTAATTAAAGCAGTACACCCAGCCTTCCATATCCATAGGCTCTGCATTCATGAATTCAATCAATTACAGACAGAAAATTATTTTTTTTAATTGTGTCTATATTGAACATGTCCAGACATCTTTCCTTATCAGTATTCCCTAAACAATACAGTATATAACAATTTTTACACAGCATTTATATTGTGTTAGGTAATCTCCAGATGATTTAAAATATTAATATTTAAAAATACTAATATTTAAAAATATTAATATTTTAAAATACTAATATTTAAAATATTAGAGAGGAGATATACAGGTTCTCTGCATATCTATGCCATTTTCTAGAAGGAACTTGAGCATCTTCAGATTTTGGTATGGGGAGGGTGTCTGGAACAAATCTCCTATAGATACCAAGGGATAACTATACTTTACTTTTTCACTTTTAACAGTTCTCTCAGAACATGATCAGATTTATAGATTTCAGTGACCACATTAAGCTTGTATGAGCATACAAGGAATTAACCACTACTAATCAATATGTTAATCTAATCCATTCCTTTTCAAGTCATCCACAGATGTCTGGTTTTACTTTAAGATTAGCTAAGCTTTTTGTACTTAAAAAAAATAAAGGAAAGAATGAATGAAAGAAAATAGGGGAAAAGTAAAGGAGCATAGTTAACTGTGCTGTGCTAGTTCTGCATACCCTGTCTATGCCACCCCGTCATTACTACCCCACAGACCTGATTGCTCCTCTACCAACCACCTTCATAATACCATGTTGACCTTCTACTGCTAGCCAGTCAGTATGCCTCGTGTTTTCTAAGAACAACTCAATCTCAGCATCAAGCCTCTTCACACTGTTTATTTGTTTCTGGCTTGTACTTTGCTACCCCAAACTAGGCTGTTTCCAGTTATTTCTAAGTTTAGTGATATTCCTGATACAAAGAACAGATTTGAAATAGCTCAGAGAAGAAAATCCCCACAAATCTGGAATATGTTAAGGCACCTATGATTAAACAGTCACCATATCTCATTTGAACCTTTACTCACAGTAGGTCCTCCACGTGTAGTTCACGGTTGCCACAACTGGGGACAAGATAGAAAGGACAATTTCCAAACTTTTGAACCAGGCTTTGGTATCTTAATGGGACCTCTGGCTGAGAACCCACTGAGAAAGTTTGGGAACCCATGGAGTTAAAAGTCTGTACTCATCTAAAATTGCCAGAGTTGACTCTCAAGGGTTCAGATGTGAACAAATGTGTCCCCCTCTCATCATACTGCACACAATCTACTAATTCTATTTCTGCTCGTGGTCAAGAACTACAGCTGATAATTCTCAAAATTTTCCAATGTAGCCAATGTGAAAAATCACTCTAACATTCACTTTGATCTACACACAAAAAGATAAAGCCTACGACACCATCTGATTCTTCTCAATAGCTTATTCTCCAAGTATATCAATCTCTGAAAGTTCTCAACAGCAGCCTATTGAAACAGAATACAATGCAGATAAACACCCTTTACTCCAACCATCCTTACAGAGTTCACATACCCCCTATACTATGTGGAGAACTTGTTTCTACTTTGTGGCTCAATACCTTCCCCTATATTGTCAATCATGTTTTCTTCTATCAATTATGGATCTCACTCCTAAGTGTCTCCTTTCTGGTCAATTATTATTTCTGTGATAAATTCCTCCCAGGTAACCATGAATTGCCAAATGGGCTTTCTATCATCTCTATAAGAATCTAATCTGCACTTATAATTTCATTGCCAATGAAAAAAAATATATTTGCACTCACCAGGCAGCCCCAGGTTCTCTGAGTGTTTCCAAACCTCTCATCCTAGTTAACTTCTGAAATCGGCTGGTTCCTTAACAAGTCACCTGAATGGAGCTTTGCCTCTGCATGCCACTCTCCTTCATAGTCTTCTGCAGTAGCACTAACTGCACCACCATGCACCGGTCCTTCAGCCTGAGAATGGGCCCTGCCACTAATCAACAATTATCACAGCACACAGCCATACTCCCTTGTCCTCAGGACTGGATATGGACACTGCCTATAGCCAACTACTTCATTTCTAGTCCCAGTCCTCACGACAACTTTAACAAAGACCTTAATACCCATGAAGCTACAGAATCTCTCCTGGCATACCACCTCCTTCTGCAATAATGCAATAACTACTTCTCTGCTAGCTCCTTCCCCTATTTCACTTGTGCCTCAACCACAATACTGGCCATCAAACACCTCCCAGTAGGTCTTCCATATCTGAAACACAGTACTATGGCTATCTCTCCTTTTAATGTTTATTAAAGCATAGATTAATCTGAATAGATAATATAGCCCTTTCCTAGAAACAACTCTTTTGAACTATGAATGATCTATTCTAAAACTCTGCTCAGTAGAACATATATTTATACTCTCGATTATTATAGCAATCTATTCATATAGGTATATACATACACATGTATTTTCATAATTACACTTGCCTTATTTTGATGTTGCAAGATGTAGAACTATTAGGCAAGAATACAGAAGGTAGTCAACACACCTGCTATGAATTCTTAAGGTCTAGAAGTCACGGCTCTCAAAAAAGTTTCTGAGTTATATAGTAAGAAAATTAATTTTCTTTTCTTTAAACCCTATTGGCATTTAGATGCTCGATTCCATGCTGTTGTTTTTTTCCATTGTCTCCAACTACACATTTTTATACAATGTCCTTACAACTGGAATAAAAATACAATACAAAGCCATCAATACAAACGCTCCCAAAGCAGGTTAGAGCATATGGGCAACAGTGTGGGTGTTTATTCTCTGCATAGCATGAACTTACACATACATATATATCTGAAAAAAAGTATTTGAAAAGTAAGATATACACACTGAATCACATCAAATTTCATACAAAAACCTAGGTTTCTTTTAAGGAAAGAATAAAATGTTGAAGGCAAAGAAGAAAAAAACAATGATGAAGTAGTAATGGCAGCAGCAAACCTGAAAGTTTCAGCTTCCATAAAATATATGGCTGCCTACTAAGAAAGCAAAAACCTTCAGGTGTAAATTTCTCATTCAAGCTTGCCAAAGATCAGCTTGGCTTTTATTGCTCCGTGTAATTTCCGATTTAGGTGATTTCACTGTGAGTGGGACTTTTTATACAACACATTACATCATAAATTAGTGCTCATAATGTTACAGCTTGGGCTTAAGAAGGCTGAAGCTTTATCAGAGATGTGTGGAGCGGCTGAGCCACCAGTGCTCACCAGCAGATAAAGAGCACAATGAGCTGGCAAGATCACAGGCCAGCAGCACAGTCTTCCCCAGATTCTGATTTGTTATCAGTTTCCGTGGAAAATCAGGAGGATGCAGCAGAGGAAACGTGAGGCCCCTGTGTCTGAGCAAACCCACCATCCGCTAGCCTACTGAGTCACTCACCTCATAGCCTTTCTCCAGCAAGAACTCAGCCAAATATGAACCATCCTGGAAAGAGAAGAAAAAATGAGAAATGTCAGACCTATGGTAGCTGGAATTAAAAAAAAAAAAAAATGGCCTACACTAAAATTAAAAAATAAAAATGGCCTACACTAAGAATTTTGAGAAAAGCATTTAAGAGGCTTCTTGAACTAAAATAGAGGATCATGGCAACCAAAATAAAACAATACCAATAAAGACAATAAACACCATACAGCATTCCACTATTCCTAGGGAATTTTCCCAGACAGTAATCGATTTGCACTCCATAAAAGACAAAGGAAGAAACTGAAACCCAGAGAAGTAGTTAACATGAAGAGAGAAAATGCAGACCTTTAGAATCACATGGATTTGGGTTTACATTTTGCTACTCACAAGCCATATGAAATACGCAAATGTGTGCAATGTAAAATGCCTTGTGATAAACTCCTTCAAGATAACTGTGATTTGCCTTGGTGCTATGGGAACATAAAGCAGGCATATGACAAATCGAAGGGAAGTACCAAAAAGGAATCACTGGAGAAGGGATCAGATGGAGACAAAGGAGGCTTGAAGAGGAAAGGGCAGGGAAGAGGAGGCAGAGAACATGCAGTGTAGGCATTACTGAAAAAGAGACTACTCAGTAGAGTGGAAAAGCCAGCAGGGCAGTGGAGGGAAGTTAGCACCTTTAGGGAAGCCTTCCAGGCCCTGGAGGGAAGTTGGCTCTGGGAAGTCATTGAGGAGTTTAAGGGATTTTAGGGGGGTGTGTGTGTGTGTGTGTGTGTGTGTGTGTGTGTGTTGTGGGGGGGTGTACATGTGACCAGATCTGTATTACCACAGCACATGTACACTCCCACACACATATGAACTTTCAAAAAGGGGAGGATATTAGCTTTTCACAAATAAGTGCTTCATTTGTATTAATTTTCAGTCATGTAGTTAATCCCTACCTCAATCCCTGTCTCATGAAAGTGTTTGACTAAATACTGAGATTCTCAATTGGATTCTAATAATTCTTTCAAAAATTTCTAAGCAGGGTCTCTGTTTAAAATATTTCGTGTACCACTTTCAGGGAAAGAAAGTATAAAAGATAACTAATTAAACTAATAAGAGGTCAAAAGCTGGGAAATCATCATTCAAGAGACACTTTAAAAGTCACATTTTGAATAGGGATCTTCTAACACTCCAGTCAGAATGGCAGCTATTATGAAGACAAACAACAATAATTGTTGGCGGGGATGTGGGGAAAAAGGCACCCTCATACATTTCTGGTGGGACTACAAATTGGTGCAGCCAATATGGGAAGCAGTATGGAGATTCCTTGGAAAACTGGGAATGGAACCACCATTTGACCCAGCCATCCCTCTCCTTGGTCTATACCCAAAGGACTTAAAAACAACATACTATAGGGACACAGCCACATCAATGTTTATAGCAGCACAATTCACAATAGCTAAACTGTGAAACCAACCTAGATGCCCTTCAGTAGTTGAATGGATTAAAAAATGTGGCATATATACACAATGGAATATTACTCAGCAATAAAAGAGAATACAATCATTACATTTGCAGATAAATGGATGGAGCTGGAGAAGATAATGCTAAGTAAAGATAGCCAATCCCCAAAAAAACAAATGCCGAATGTTTTCTCTGATATAAGGAGTCTGACTTATAGTGGGGTAGGGAGGGAGAGCATGGGAGAAATAGACGAACTCTAGATATGTCAGAGAGGTGGGAGAGGAAGGCAGGGGGCAGGGGGTTAGCAATGATGGTGGAATGTGATGGACATCATTATCCAAAGTACATGTATGAAGACATGAATTGGTATGAACATACTTTATACACAGAGATATGAAAAATTGTGCTCTATATGTGTAATAAGAATTGTAATGCATTCTGCTGCCATGTATTTAAAAAGTAAAATCAATTTTAAAAAGTCACGTTTTGTAATCAATCCTGTAATTGCTCTTCTTTCTTTAGTCCCAGGATGAAGTCCCATCTTTCCACCCAGACTTAACAAAAATGGGACACCATAACTACTGGGAATTTGTGACCTCTAAAGTAGTTGGGGATGTTTGAAGTTTCTTGGGTATCTTCAGTTTTAAAAAGCTTAAAATATCCCTTTCAGCTTCAAAAGTTCCTACCAGATATCCAGGAAAAATAAAAATAAAGCAAACCTTATGATTATCATGACTTGACCTAAAGCTGGAACTGGAGCTACCCTATGGATCCTGGAAATGAGAGGGCTGCCAAGGAAGTGTATACAACATTAATGTAGAAGTCCTACATAAATTCAGGCAGAATGACAAGGCAAGGCATACAAGGGACACATTTTGTGGTTCACTAAAACCTCCAGCAGATATTTTTCAGACTTCTTGACATAAATATTCTGGTTTACGGACTCACATGGAGAAGAAAAGAAAGGGTTTGTGCTTTTCATCCCAATATTACCATGTGCATGGTTTTTACATGCTCAATACGTTAACTAAATCAGTCCATAACCTGACCAATTCAGGCCAGGACAAGCCAGGTTGGCCTACACTACCATCACAAATGTTAAATCAATCAATGACAAAATACAGTAGTAGAAAAATATTTGCAAGAAGAATTAACAATATGGCAAAAGGATAAAAAGGCCTAGGAGTATAAAGCTTTGTTGTTGTTGTGTTGTTTTGAAGACAACACTTTCCATGTATCAAAATTCTCTTGAAATAACAAGTGAAAATGCTATGTGTCCTACCATAGTTGCATAGGATGTTTTAAAAAAAAAAGAAAAAAAGGCAGAGGTATGGGGATAGGGGTAGGGGGAAGCTGTGATTATTTAGAAAGCTGATGTGAAACAGACCTGACCAGCACTGAACCCTGTCAATAAGGTCTTGTTCTTCTCACCCAGGCCGCTTCTCAAACTTTCCAACCACACTGGAACATTCTGAACCAGCAGTGGCACTAGCTTCCTCCTCATTTCCTTGCCAGGCCTTTCCAGTGATAGGACCCAGGCTACACAATGAGTGGGAAACAAGCCGAGCATGGGCTCCTGGTCTCCTGCCCAGGGAGCCCAGCTGGCCTCCCCTGGGGGCCTCCAAGGGAGACAGGGTATCTGAGCAGGCAGACGTCCTCTGATCTATCAGGATGGTTGTTTCTACCTTCTCTTGAAGCACAGGCTGATAAAGAATGCTCCAATCAGTCTAATGGCTGAAATGTCATACCAATGGAGAACCTGCAACTCACATTAAGTTCTGACACTTGACTCCTCTGAGACAAAGGCACGAGCCAGCTAAATATCTAACTTGTTCATTATAAACACAATTACTCTGGTATAAATCCCAAATTGGCTTCAAACCCTGTTGCAACCCTGTGACCCTTTCAAATTTAATTTTGCATATGGTTATTAAGGGCATCTATTTCATATAAAATGCTATACTATTTTAGGCAATCACCATTGCTTTAATGTTTTCAAGACACAGAAATTTTCTGGTCTTATTCTCAGAAGAACTCGGCTAGGAAGGTAAGCAGCCATTTGGAAACAGGCAACTGAGGCGAAGGAGGTTAGTAAACTTACCTAACAGTATACCACTAGTTACAGACAAAACCAGAACTAGAATCCAAGTCCTTCATTATTTTAAACTGGAAAATAATCTCCTTACTTATTCTGCTCCACCTGGAAACTACCAAAACAATGTCAAGACCCAACAAAATAATAAGAGACCATAAAGGAATCGTTTTTCAAACCAGCTTGATTTAGTCATTTTCCATTACAGGGTGTTTTATGAATTAAACAAGGCTTCCAGTTTTAATCAAGTGACCCAAACCCAGAAAAGTCATGTAATTTTAGAACACTCAGAGCTCAGAAGAGAGAGAAAGGATACAGTGCCTGAGATTTCCCAGGTCTCAGTTATGGGCATGTATGCGCCTGTGGGGCAGTGCAGTATCATGTGGGGGTAGAACTGACTTGGTGGTGGACATATGTCAGAGGGAGGGATGGGGCCCCTGCCAAGAGCCAAAGGATCAGATTTCAGTGTGCTTGACACCTACCATATTTCTTTGAAGGGTGAACCCTCACTTCCATGGAGTACTCAGAAATGTCCAATAGGAGTCACACAAAAAGTAAGCATAATCCTAAAAATTAATAGTCATATTTTGACTATTATATAAAAAATGACTTAAAACTCCACATCTATTTTAAAAAAATAAAGGAAACAGAGAAAGTTTCCCCCTTCTCCTAGTGGTCAGAGATGGCTAGAAAAAGCACTCAACTGATCTTCATACCCACCCATAAATGTTTCTTTTCTCTCTTCCAAAGTGAATGAACCTATAGCCCAGGTGGACAAATGAAAAATAATGTTCTCATGTGCAACCTGAGAGCAAGGCCCCTCTGAACTGCAGGCTAAATCACATTGTATGTTTCTGTTTATGCACCGTTTAGCAGCTTTTTTGAACAGGATAAGATAAGTAGTACTAAGCTGGAGAAATTGCACCAGTAATAAAATGAATCTCTTTGTTTAGGTCATCAAGCGTCAGGAAACAGAACACCCTGTCTGCATCACGAGAACGCACTCATTTACTCAGCCTTTCATGCTTTTACTCTGGGTATTCTAGTTATTCTAAAAAGACCAACTTCACAGCAAATCTCCAAGAATCAAGAAAATCATCCCTCTACTAAAAGAACTACAAACACCTCCATAATTAACAGAGGATGCTGTTTTGAATCAGAACAAAAACTTCCAGTGATTTAACCACTAGAGTGTGAAGCATCTAGGGGCAGAATATATTGGAAAAGTATTTACACCTGGTTCATGTTTGTCAAATCACTGGATAAAATCTCTGTCAAACTCACTGAATTCAAAAGACCATGGGGATTAATTAATCCAACCCTTTCATTTTACAGATCAGGAAATTGAGACTCAAAACAGTTAAATGTTTAGTGTATAGTCATACACTGAGGAATGCATACACACAAAAAATGGCTCTGGATCCCAGACCTCAGAATTGTGTACCAAAAATGCTTAACACCTACAATGAGTGTGGACAGG